TGAAGCCTGGCTTGGAGAATTTTGAACATTACTATACTAGCATGTGAGATGAGTGCAATTGTGAAGTAGTTTGAGCATTCTTTGGCATTGCCTTTTTTGGGGGTTAGAATGAAAACTGACCCTTTCCAGTCCTGTGGCCACTGTTGAGTTTTCTAAATTTGCTGGCATATTGAGTGCAGCACTTTCACAGCATCATCTTTTAAGATTTGAAATAGCTCAACTGGAATTCCACCACCTCCACTAGCTTTATTCATAGTGATGCTTCCTGAGGCCCACTTGACTTCACATTCCAGGATCTCTGGCTCTAGGTGAGTGATCACAGCATCGTGATTATCTGGGTCATGAAGATCTTTTTTGTATAGTTCTTCTGTGTATTCTTGCCACCTCTTCTTAATATCTTCTGCTTCTGTTATGTCCATACAATTTCTGTCCAATAAAGGACAATAAAGATGTGCCCATCTTTGCATAAAATGTTCCCTTGGTATCTGTAATTTTCTTGAAGAGATCTCTAGTCTTTCCCATTCTGTTGTTTTCCTCTATTTCTTTGCACCGATCGCTGAGGAGGGCTTTCTTATCTCTCCTTGCTATTCTTTGGAACTCTGCATTCAAATGGGTATAATCTTTTTATTCGAGGGTTCGCTGTAATTATTTTTATAATAAACTAACAACAAGTGCTTTCATTTGAGGGGCGAAGCCTCACCGTACTTACTTTTTTCCATTTTGTTGTTTTTGTTTGGTTTTCATTTTTTTGCCACACCACATAGCATGCAGGATCGTAGTTCCCTGATCAAGGATTGAACCCATGCCCCTTGCAGTGGAAGCACGGAGTCCTTGCCACTGGACCACCAGGGAAGTCCCCCTACTTATTTATTTACATGGAGAAATGCATTACATTGTTGAGTGAACAGCAATCTCCAAAATGAGTACATTGCATATACATTGTTTTTATAGTTTTTTAAAACTGCAATATTTTTCATATACTCCATACATTTTATAAAAGCTAGTACTAAAACCTTAATACAAAGGCATATTTACATTGAAACTGCCTTTGCTAATGCTAATTAAGTGTCCTGTCCATTCTCACCTCTTGATATGTACTAGTTGCCTACTGACTAATAAGTCACATTGAGAAACCCAGGATAAGACAGTTATGCAATCATTTCTTTTTGCACAGCTTTAAAAGAAGATTTTGAAGAAGGGAATGGCATCCCAGATTCCAGCATTCTTGCCTGGAGAATTCCACGAACATCCATGTCCATGGGATCACAAAGAGTCAGACACCCTGAGCAACTAACACACACACACGAGAAGATTTACAATATGGCACTGAAGAGATTTCATAGCAAGATGCTGCCATGCCTCCAAATGTATCCTTAGACAGATAAGGAGGACTACACACATCAACTTGGAGGGAATTCCCTGGCTGTCCAGTGGTTAGGACTCTGAGCTTCCACTGTAAGGGGCACAGGTTCGACCTCTGGAACTTGGGAATTCTCCACATTTTTGTCCAGATTCCCTTCAACAACCATACTATTTGTCTCAACTGTTTAAGATCTATCCTTTAATTTCCATTTCTCACACACAGAACCCTGTTTTTCCTCATATTGAAATAACTGCTTTATCATTTTGATCTTTCCCCTTTGGAATTACACTCTTGCTCACATCCTTAATCATAAGGGGTTAATGGTGGATCTTACCTTACATTTGTTCCTGGAAATCCTGACCAGGAAAGCTCTCCTCAGTGTCTTTATTTTATATCTAAGTCATCTTCTTAGTCAATGAACCTCCCTAAAAGATTAATGTAGTTTGAACTTTTATAGAGGAATATCATTTGTGTGCTGTCATATTTAGCACAAATGGTGCTTCAGTCACAGCTCAGTAATATTCCAGCATATTATTTCCAAGGCATTTGAGAGTTTAAAGAATTATTGAAGGGCACGCTGTACTCATTTGGTAATAAGGCAGAGAGCACTGCCGTCTACATATGATTTCAGCAAATGGAATCACCGCTAATTTCATCGCACGTAGCAAAATAGTTGTGATAATAACCCAGATAAAATATCCCACTGGAAGAAAATACATGAGACAGAGTCTTTTATAAGACCTCCAAGAAGTATGGAAGAGGAAGTCCTAGCAATTGAAGGCAAGATGCTGAGAAATCATCTTCCCACAAGAACACATGCCCTTCACATTGTGGTTTTGTCAACCCTAGGGGTAAAGCCAAGGCCCCACTCAGCCATTCTTTGTCTTCAGAAGCTGCCAAGCTGCGCTGAAAGATACAGCATGATGGGGACAGCAGAGCCACAAAAGAGGAAGGAAGGAGATGATGTCATTTAGAGGGACCCACCAAACTGTGGGTAACTGGGGAGAAAATTCCCCGGTTACTGCAGCTTTGTGAAGAGCAGGTGAGACTAGTTTGACATTTTTTAAATATTTGAATTGATAAATATGTTTTAGAGGAAGGAAAGGTCTTGCTTACTGTCAGGTGTCACTGAATAGTTTAAAGGCTTCAGAATGTACCCTAATCAGAAGAACAAGAGAAACCTGCTGTCATGAAAGGTCCTTACACATACATTGCTTCAACTCTATTTCAGATACTGACTTCTTTTTATTAAGATATATGCTCTAAGCCAGGAGAGTAGTTGAGTCTCCAAGTTATGAGAATCCTGAGAGCAGGAATGGAGCTCTTCTTCTATTTCTGGATTTAAAAAGGCATAATATGGCCATTTCGGGAACTAGCTTATGCAAAACACATTATGTACTGTTTCTCCTGCTTATTAAAAGTTATAGCCTGCTATTAGAATTAACGAGATGTTTTGAGGATACTGTTATTTGTATTAGTTTGAAAAAAATCCAATCCTTTATTTAGACAAAAATGGCTCCACCGTCAGGCTTCTCTGTGGCTTGCCAACAACTTCAAGCCCCTCCACTATACTCACTATGTCTTTGCTTCCAGTGACCAAAGGCATTTCAGCCTCTTACAAGAAAGCTCTTGGAATATTCTGCGGGCAGCATCTACACATTACTAATTAAGGGAAAATGAAGTTATTTCAGTAATATTTTGGTATCTCTAAATTCTTTGGGAGGGGGGAAGCAGTAAAATGAGCAGGTAGCATATAAGGGGCTTCCCTGGTGTCTCAGTGGTTAAGAGTCACTAATGCAGGAGATGTGACTGTAATCCCTGGGTCGGGAAGGAAGATCCCCTAGAGAAGAGAATGGCAACCCACTCCAGTATTCTTGTCAGGAGAATCCCACGGACAGAGGACCCTGGCAGGCTACAGTCCAAGGGACTGCAAAGGACTGAGCAACTAAACAAAAACAAAGCACATAAAACTCCTTAAAAGTTTAAATTTAAGCTAGATGAAAATCATAAAAAGTATATAAATGTCAATAAGTGGTTCATCCAAATACAAGTGAAGTGATGACATGTCAAAATCCTTAGAAATACAGGAATCCCACCTCACCTGTGGGGAATACGCTCCAAGACCCCCAGTGGATGCCTGAAACCACAGATAGTACCAAACCCTACATGTACTATGTTTTTTTACTATACATACATACCTATGATAAAGTTTAACTTACAAATTAGGCGCACTAAGAGATGAACAACAGATAAATACAAGTGTGATAATAAAATACAACAATTATAACACTACATTGTAATAAAAGTTATATGAATGTGGTCTCTCGCACTTTCTCGGATCTTGTCGTACTCACCTTTCATGTGATGATGTGAGATGATGCGACACCTGCATGATGAGATGATGCGAGGTGAATGAAGTAGGCATTGTGATCTAGCGGGAGGTTGCTGTTATTTCCTTTCGCTGGGACACTCAGCAAGTTAAACGTGGACGCAGAGATATGCAGCAAAGAGATGGTTTATGTGCAAGACCCGAGAGGGAGGGAAGAACACATCTCAAGCCCACCTCCCCACAGGCAAAGGATTTGGGGAATTTATGGGATAAAGAATAAAGCAGCAGGTGACCAGGAGAGTGGGGAAGAGGGATCAGAAAAAGGTACAAGAATTGGCGGTTCTACGCAGAGTTTCTGCACATGCACGTTCAGAGGGCGGAGCTTTAGGCCCTCTGACGTCAAAAGAGCACCAAGGGGACACTCTGCATGTTCCCAGTTGAAGGGTCTGTGATTCCCCTGTGAGTCTTAACTAGCTCAGCTCCTGACTGCTGACTCTCTTCTCAGCTTAAACTCCAGGTTTCTGGGCGGGGGGAATCCCAGGCAAACATTTTATTGTTTAGGCTACCTGTCGCATGCAGAACACATGAGTCTTAAAATGACCTTGATGGATTTAACCCACAGTTTCACTGCTGTTGACCTTGGGTTGATACATCAGAAGAAAGATCGTCTGCTTGACGTGGTCCTGAGTCATCACGCCAGGAGAGCATCATTGGCTGAGGATCGGAGTGGTGGGGACCTCGCGGAGGAGGCAAGATTTCATCACGCTGCTCAGGAGGGTGAGAAATTTCTAACTTATGAATTGTCTATTCCTGGAATTTTCCACTTAGTACATTTAACACACGTTGGTGGACTTGGGGTAACTGGAATCACAGAAAGTGAAAACACAGATAAGAGGGGACTATTATATAGGAAAATGGTTTTTACATATTTCCTTAAAATACAGAAGATTTTGTCTTCAAGTAGTTGGTATCGGGTATATAACACTTGGATTTGTTTTCCAGTATCTTACTCCTCCTCAGGTATCTTATCCTTTGTTGTTGTTATTGCTGTTTAGTCTCTAAGTCATGTCGGATTCTTTTAGGACCCTGTGGACTGTAGCCTGCCAGGCTCCTCTGTCCACGGGATTTCCCAGGCAAGAATACTGGAGTGGGTTGCCATTTCTTTCTCCAGGGGACCTTCCCGGGCTAGGGATTGAATCCGAGCCTCCTGCATTGGCTCAGATTTACTGCTGAGCCACCAAGGAAGCTCGTATCTTATCCCACAATGACTCAACTCTCCCTGGCTATGACACTCCTCAGGGGTGGCCATTGGCCTTAATAAGATCCGGTAAACAGGGACTTCCCTAGTGGTCCAATGGTTAAGACTCTGTGCTTCCACTGCAGGGGGCCAGATTCTACACAGGTTTCTGTATAGAAGTTCCACATGCCACATCATGTAGCCAAAAAAAAAAAATTAAAAAGATCAGTAAACATGAAAATCGAAATATTGATCGAGACATGTTTTTTTCTCCCACTGAATGTAAACAACTGCACCCTGTGCTGTGAGTTATTGGAAGTCAGTTTTCAACCACCAGGGGGAATCAGACTTGGGATAAAAGTTGACATTTTAGAAAGCAAAATAGAAGGGAAAATGGGGCTTTAGTAACATGACTGAGCTCTAAATGAAGCCCCAAAGCCTGACTTAACTTTGCATTTCTCAGTAACATAAAAAAATCAGCCTTTTTAAAGTTTAATGTGGTTTGAGACAGGTTTTAGTTATTTGCAGCAGCAATTTAAAAAGTACTAACTGACAGATCCAGGGGAAAAAAATTGAATTATACCTATTAAAAAATCTAAATAAAAAAGAAAAAAATATGTAATTTTGTAAATCAAGAAGTTCCAGGTCAGGGCTTCCCTGGTGGCTCAGTGGTAGAGAATCCACCAGCCATTTCAGGAGACACAGGATCAATCCCTTATCTGAGAGGATACCACATGCCTCGGAGCAACTAAACCCATGAGCTGCAACGACTGAAGCCTTCGCGCCCCAGAGCCTGTGCTCCACAACAAAAGAAGCCACTGAAATGAGAAGCCCTCATACCACTACTCGAGGAGCCCCCGCTCTTCGCAACTACAGAAAAACTGCACAGCAACAAAGACCCAGCACGGCAAAAAATAAATAAATAAAATTACATTTAAAAAAAAATTCCAGGTCAAAGACTAAATAAAGCATTTTGAGCGCATAATTTTATACAGTACTTATCACCAAGACACTCAGGTGCCATGACGAATGAGCAGGTTAAAACAGGATATCATGTCATTTCTCAGGTTTTGCTGCCAAATACCTCTTTTTTAAAAAAATTTCTTGTCTCCAAACAAAACTGGAACTGAGGATTATATACAATTTTCTCTTGTATTCAAGGCCCAGATGGCAGACTGCAAAAACTTAATTTCTGGTCTCTTGATAGAAATTTGAGGACTGTCAGCTCTTAAGATTTTAAGTAATTCAGTCAAGTGACTATAGGCTCTGTAGGCTTGGGAATTGTGCTTTCTTCAGTTTTGTGGTTGTTTTTGCTTTGCCCTTAATAACTGCAACATATCTTAATATTCATAGGCTGTCCTCAGAGAAAATCAGCAGGGTGTCCCCCCCCACCTACCACTCCCCACCCCATATCTGACAACATGGATTGTTTACAAGCCAAGGATCCCCAAGGATCAAGCTTTGAGCAGCTGGAGCTTCAGAGGACTGGTGTGATGGAGCTCAGCGAGCATTTGGGAACATTTGGGAACATTTGGGAATTGTGCCATGAGATGCTGCCTTGAGGGAGGATTGACAATAGGAGAATAATGACATGTGACAGAGGCAGACGGGGACAGAAGGAATCTGGGTTGTCCATAGGACTCTGCAGAAGGCTTTTCAAGCTCACAGATTTGATTTGTTACGGGATTCTAGGGAGGGGAGGAGGGCAGTGCAGACAGGACTCTAAGATGGACCCCTAAGAAGTCCTGCCTCTTTCACTCATCCCCACACACACCCTGCCAAATCCTCTGTACTGTGAATCTGATGGCTTTTTTTCTCCATATTTTGTTGTTGCTGTTGTTCAGTTGTTAAGTCATGTCTGACTCTTTGTGACTCCATAGACTAAAGCATGCCAGGCTCCCCTGTCCTTCANGACACAGGTCACTTTAAGAAAGGTGGATTATCAAGATGTATACGACCTAATGGCCTGAAACCTTTCAAAGCTGGGAGTTTTCTCTGGCTGTGAGCAGAAGAGGAAATCAGAGATTTGGGGCCTGAGAGGGATTCTACTCACCATGGCTGGCCTGAAGATGCAGGAGCCACAACACAGTGGAATCCAGTTGTCCATAGCAAGTCCCTGCTGACAACCAGCTAAGAGACATAAATCTTAGTCCCCAGACTGCAAACAACTGAAATCTGCCAACAACAAGCATGAACTTAGAGGCTGATGTTTTTTCTTCTCAGAATCTTTAGGCAAGAACTCAGTCTGGCTGACACCTTGCTTTTGGTCTTGAGTTCAGCCTGAACAGAGAACCCAGTCCTACTGTGTGCTGGACTTCTGACCTATAGAATTGTGGGCTAATGAACAGGTGCTGGGGTCTTATTGTTTTTGTGGGTTTTTCTTTGAGGGGGGCACAGTGTACAGCATGCAGGATCTTAGTTCCCTGACGAGGGATGGAACCTGCAGCCCCTGCAGTGGAAGTGCAGAGTCTTAAACACTGGACCACCAGGGAAGTCCCAACTGGGTGCTGTTTTAAACCTCTCATTTTGTGGTTATTTGTTGCACAGCCATAGCTGACAGATACATTTGTCAAATCCAAACCAAGAAAATTATTTTGGCAGGAACAGTGAAGAAAGAAGGTGAGGAGGTAGAGTTAAGTGAAAGAAACCTACTGAATAAAAAGTTACTCACATATTAAGGGCAAGTGGCAAACAGCCACATAGTTCAGACCTACGTATCTTGATACTAATCACATTATTGAGTTTTGGATAAGACCACACATCAACAGAGAAGATACATGAAAATCATATAGGAATATGACTTTCTTCATAACTTTATAAGCCCAGTGCTTCTGGAACACAGGCAGCAATGATTGGGAATGAATAACAGTATAGTTTTCATGTGATAAGATCAAATGATCTATAACACGATCTTATGACATGATCACCTAAGAGTATGCTAACTTTTGTAAGAAACCATCAAGCTATCTTCCAGAGTGTCTGTACCATTTTCTATTCCCACCAGCAATGAGTGAGAGTTCCTGTTACTGCACATCCTCACTGGCATTTGCTGTTATACGTGTTCTGGATTTTGGCCACTATAAGAGGTGTATGGTGGCATCTCACTGTTGGGTTAATTTTCACTTCTCTAATGACATCTGAAGTGGGGCATCTTTTTATATGTTTGTCTGCTGTCTGTATATCTTGGCAGATTTGGTGAGGTGTTTAAGGTCTTCAGCCAAACTTTTAATTGGGTTGTTTTTTTTTCTTATTGTGGAGTCTAAAGAGTTCTTGGTATATTTTGGATACCAGTCCTTTACCAGATATATGTTTTGCAAATACTTCCTCCCTTCCAGTCTGTGGCTTGTCTTCTCATTCTCTTGACAGTGACTTTTGAAGAGCAAAATTCTTTATTTTTAATTGAGTCCGGTTTGTCAATCATCAGTGATTCATGATGCTGTATCTAAAAATTCACGCCAAACTCAAGGTCACCTAGATTTGTCTCCTGTGTCATCTTCTGGGAGTTTTACAGTCTTAATGTGCTTGGTTGCTCAGTCATGTCTGACTCTTTGCAACCCCATGGACTGTAGCCCGCCAGGCTCCTCTGTCCATGGGGATTCTCCAGGCAAGAATTCTGGAGTGGGTTGCCATGCCCTCCTCCAGGGGATCTTCCCAACCCAGGTGTCGAACCTGNGTAGTGTCTGACTCTTTGCAACCCCATGGACTGTAGCCCGCCAGGCTCCTCTGTCCATGGGGATTCTCCAGGCAAGAATTCTGGAGTGGGTTGCCATGCCCTCCTCCAGGGGATCTTCCCAACCCAGGTGTCGAACCCAGGTCTCCCCCATGGCAGGTGTATTCTTTCACCCATGATCCACTTCAAGTTCATTTCCATGAGGGCTGTAAGATCTGTGTCTAGATTCATTTCTGTGTGTGTGTGGATGTCCAGATGTTTCTGCACCTTTTATTGAAGCGTAAGTTTTTCATTTCCCTAGCAACTTTTAATGAAAGGCATCTTCTAGTATGTTAATGGACATATGTTTCTAACAATAACAATAAATCTGTCAAAAAACTCAGGATGTAGGCATTTTATACAAAGATCCGACAACGATGTTGAGTTTATTCACTTTTCTCATATCTACTCTCTGAGCTGGATTAGTGGCATGACCTCATTTTACAGATAGAAAAGCTGACAGAGAGAGAGGGGGGAAAAGCTGCCTTGTTTACCCCACAATGCCCACAACAGAGACTTCACGCTTACTATCTCTAATTGTTGTGCCTGCTCACCTGAGTGCCTGATGCATGAGGTCACCCGTTTTTACCTGGTTGTTCATAAATCACTGACAAGCATGCACATTGGATTTTCTTGATCCTGCACTATGGAAGTAGCTAAGATACCATTTTTCAAAAGCGATCTTCCTTTATTAAAAGTGAGCAGAAACCCCGGGCAGCCCAGTCACAAGGAGTATGAAACCATTTCTTATCAAGAAAGGAAGGATCTCAAACTTTAGTCCTTGTAGGACAAGAAGGAAAAATACAAACTCTGTTCTTTCCCTCTTTTTGG